GAGTACTGGTGATCTCATTTTTGTCAGCATAGTTACCCCCTTTGCAACAACAGTGTCCTTGATTTCCTTTTTCTTGGCCACTATGGAACATATGGTTGTGTAGGGTTTCTTATAGATCCTGGCCAGTTCGGCCGCACTTGTACCACTTTCATATTGTTCAATGATGTTTTTCTTAAATTCAATCGTATTTCTCACCTTCTTTACCACAGGCTTGGCACTAGGAGCTTTCTTTGGAGCCATGGTAGCTTATTTAGTACTTGCAAGCACTAAAATAAATGGAATATTATGAAATATTTTGCTGGAGCACGGGAGGGGACCATCGCTCACTGGTAAACAATGCCAGACTGGCTGCCGCCCCGGCTCACGCTGTGGGTACGCGTCCCGGACGAACTACTACTTGCGAGTCAACCTATGAAAAGCGAGCCCATGTTTATACGAAAATATCCCTATGATTTCCGAAATCTATGATTGCCAAGAACTACGAAAAATGAGGGACCACTGTATCGCCGAGGTCGCTAACTTCGCGAGGGAGTAATTCTGTCAGTTTTCCATCAAATTTCGTTTTTTTGGTCTCATTACAATCGGGAAGAGATTCTTTATCATTTCATAAGAAATTTTTTTTTTTTTTTGGAAATTTTGCGACACCAGGAGACACCTCAGGATTGGGGGTTGCGACAGTCAAGGTGTTAACCATCTGAGGGTCCAGACCCCCTGATCTCAAACTTGCTCTCAGGGTCTCAAAAAAAAAAAAAAAAAAAAAATCTTGTGAAATAATTTTTTTTTCTGAAGGTAATGAAACCAAAAGTATGAAATTTGATGGAAAACTTTTAGAATTATGCTCTTGCAAAGTTAGCTGTTTACAAGATGCTAACGCATCAGCGATTCTGACCAATTTAAGTAACCCTATTTTGGGCCAATTCCATTGTTCCAGTCGACCAAACTCATAGCTATTTCACAAGTATTTATTTTACTCTACTAAATACAAGAAACCACCCATTTACCTATTTCAACTACCCAATAAAGTGATTAGAAATTGGTGATTTGGCCAACTTCACACAAAATTAAAAAACTGCCAACTTAAGAATAGGGTCCAGAATAAACAACGTAGACATTCCTGGCACTTAAAAAACATTTCTTCTGTTCATTAGTTACATCCCAAGGCCTCTCCTAAATTACGTTCTCTTTCCATGTTGTTGTAGATTCGCCGGTATAATTGTTTGGTCTGGGCCTTTTCCAAGAGGTGGCCTGGCCTTGGCTCCCTGTCATGGAAGTGTCTCAGACCAATGTTTGCCATGGGAGGAGGTACAAGTACCTCTTCAACTTCTGGGACCAGCTGTCCCCAGGCCTACCCCATTCCCCGCCCCCACGGGGCTCGGAGGGAGAAGCTAGGCACCTTGGGCTGCCACAAACCCCACCCACACTGGGCACAAAAGGGTATGGCAGCTGCACAGCAGCAGATGATGTTAGGAGGTGCAAAGGCAGCAAACACTACAGAATCCTTCTGGAGCCACAGCCCAGCTTTGGGCCTAAGACCGAGGGCTGGGAAAGCTCAAAAATGCCTCTTGCTGTGTGTGTTGCTGTTGCTACTACACTTGTCTGCTGCACTGTGACAACACAAAAATTATATGTATTACTGTTATGCAGACTACTACATTATTGTAATAATTGTATAAATAATGTCAGTGCATTTCTAAATGTGTATTAGACCGGCCAGATGCATGTGTATTGGATGAGTGATGACATTTGTGTACTCTGGAATACCGGCAAAAATTAAACATTTCTGCTACTTTGAGCTCAATTTCAAGCTACTTTCAATTCAGAAACCAGTCAAAATCATCTCTATTTCTGTATTATTTTCCATTCTATCAAATGAGACCAAAAACTGAGAATACAGCCATAAAAAAATCATACGAAAATACACAGCAAAATCACTGTTTTAAACCAAAACAATAGTCACAGTTTTTTTTCACCAGTAGCTGGAGAATTTTTTTTAAACGGTGCAAAAGTACCGCACAGACCCATTCTCTCATATCTAGGCCAGAATTTACCACTCACAGCTTAACGGAGTGAGCTGAGCTCATG